GCTGTGAGGAAATATAATGTTGGGCCAGTTCCTTTCGCCAAAGAACATTTTTTGGTCACATAGACAGTGCTGGTCTGGCCTTAATAGATGTGGGTGTGATTTAAAATTCTTTGACTTAATTAATTTCTAGATGATGGCTCAATGAGACGAATCCAGGGAATAGCTAGATATTTAGAATTTTGTTAATTTTATCCCTTCTTTGCAATTATTACAGTTCAAAAAGTTAGCATTTGTTTTATTTTAAGTGACCTTTATTATCTTGATCACTTTAATTACCTTCCAGGTATATTTAAAATTTTTGTTATACTTTCTGCCTCCCATCTACCACCCATTCATTTATCTAACCGTCATCTACCCCTCACTGCACCAGATCTATCCATCCACCTTCATCCATCCACCCACCCATCTAGCCCCCCACCTCCCTCCCTCCAGCCACTCACCTAGCCATCATCCATTAAGCACACTGTACATTCTATGAACAAGGTCTTTGTCAATGGCAATGACCCTTTGTAGGGTTGTTACTGATCACTGAGACCATAATTTTCTCAATATAGTTTAGAACACTGTCTCCTTGGCACTATGGCAGGCCATTTGAGTTTATGTGACATTTTTATATCCACTACTCAGAACTCCCTATAGTTTATTCCATTTATATAGCACGTGCATAAGCTGATTTTTACTAGAAAAACTACCTTCATTGAGTTGAAGAAGGAGATGCAGCACAACCACACCAGAAGGTAGGAAGCAATCAGGTCAGTGAAAGGCCAGTAGATAGGGAGGTAAAAGCCGGTAGAGTTCAGAGGAGGGAGAAATGATTCTTCTAGGAGGCCCATGAATTGCAACAATCAAACCTCAAGAGCCACACATTTCACAGAAGAAGCCTAACAACATACTGTGTGGTTCACCAGCTCCTTAGAAAGGATTTCTGTGGCCTGCCCAGCGGCACCATGCCTGGCGCTGCAGTGTCACCGGGAGAACAATCTCTGGGACAATTGTAAGGACCCTTTGCAGGGCTGTAACTCATCACTCAGAGGCCATAATTTTCTAAATACAGTTTAGAACACTGTCCCCTTAAACTATAGCAGGCCACCACTGAGGTTTATGTGGCATTTTATATCTACTACTCAGATCCCCCCGAGTTACTTATATAGCACCTGGATAAGCAGATTTTTACTGGAAAAACTGGAAATGTCACTGTTAAATGCTCAAACTTTCAGGTCATTCACAAACTACTCAACTAGAGAGCCCAACAGCAACCCTGGGGTGTGCAATTAACACTTCTCATCTGGAAAATGTCCACCTGATTTCTAACTCCATATAAGTATTCTATGACAGATATCCAATTGCTTAGTCATTCAACAAACAGAAGGTTTTACTAGACTTTGTGGCAAAGAATCTCTGGAAATGAGACGCTGGCCCCATTTTCCACTGGCTTATTACCTACCTAAGTCATTTATAGTATGTCTTGCCCTAAAAGGAAAACAAGCAAAAATAACCAAAGGCAAACCCGTGCTCCCTAAATGGGTTGAATTGAAGAAGGAGATGTAGAAAATGTGTTCCCCAAAGCTTGGGTAAATGCAATCTTTGTTCTGTGATCGGTGAAAGGAGTCTTAGGTTATCACACTAAAGACATTTGCTATTGGATGGCACTCCACTGTGATTCTTATCATAAAATAAGTAATCACCCTTGATTGATCTTCTGTGTCAATGCAAAGTTGCTATGTTAGGTTTGGTTAATGAGGCACCACTCTGTTGTGACTGGGCAAGGCACGACGTTCTGCAGTGTGTTGCTTGGCGACAGGCATGTGTTCTGGGGAATGTGTATTAGGTGATCTCCTTGTGGTTCAAACATCAGCAAGAGGAATCCCACACACCCCTCAGTACAGGGACAGCGACCACACACCTAGGCTAAGTGGTCAGGCCTGTGGCACTGCTGTCACCTAAGTGGTTTGTTGCTGGCAGAGAGGCATGACCTTAGTGAAAAGTGACTGTACTTAAAGGAAAAAGTGGTTTTGGCATTTTCTGTTGATTGCCCCTGCAGCATGGCGAGATCTCTCTTTCAGTCACTGGCGTGTGTGACCTTTGCTACTGTCATCATGCATTGGGCTTGTCCCCTTATGATATCCCCGTGGTATCTCCATATGTCATGACAGACCTGACTTGGAGTTTCTTCATTCCCAAATGTCTTCACTGCCTAGGCTCTGGCAGCACTGTTAGTCTCTAAGGTTGGTTTAATTCCCTGCCAAGAAGGGGGAGCTGAGTGTTTTCACCTCTCCACATACTCATCCCACTTTGCCTTTACTATCTCAAAACATGGGGTGAATATGGACTTTTGGCCCAGATTCTTCCTTAGCCCAGCCCACCTTTTCCACCTCTTTTTAAGTCATGACTTTTCAGAATTTCTCTGAGTTGTAAAAGCCAAGTGCACAGAAACCACGCAGGATTCTTGTGGACACATCTGGGGGCTTTTCAGCATCTCAATGACCACATGGACCCATACCTCGACCTCAGAGGGCAGATTGGGCAGTGGTTACCACCAGGCTGGTGAGCTGAGGGTGCCCATGAGGTGGAGTCCACATCAGCTCAGACACCCCTGTGCCCACAAAGGAACTCTTCTGAAACTAGGGCAAGTTTTGCATGAAACCCCATTTTCAAACCGAAACCATGTTAAAAAAAAATGGTGGTTCAGTGTGGTTTTTACTGAAAACCAGGTGAAGCTTTGTGGTTCAGCCAAGTTTTGACTTGAAGCCAGAGAGAGCGCACTATGTTTTGCTGGATCTGGTTTTACATTTCATGTTCCATTTGGTTCTGTTCCCCAAACCTGAATGTGGGGTTCAGATGAGGGGTACAAAATGAATAAAACAAAGCCAGCATGAAATCTGGTGCAGATGAAGACAGCATTAACTTTATAAGGGCCACACGATCTCCTGGCTTACTGTTTGCTCCTGTTTTCTATCAACATTCCTTCTCAAAGGACCATAACACACGCTAAATATTTCCTTGGGATCTTCCTTAAAGGAACAGAATTATTCACACCATACAAAAAATAGCAAAGTCCATTTTGTTCTTGTGTGTTTTTTTTCTTTAAACAGATCTATGAACAAATGTTTTACATTTTTTTCCAGGTCGGCCACTGAAACTTTTGGGGAAATCATTCTAGGGAACAGGATCTGTGGTTAGGTACGGATGGACCTACTTGACATACTTTCAATGTCAACTCTGTGTTGGAAACTTTTAAGTTTTTCAATTCTCACAATATAGCACAATGTTTTACAGATGAAGAAACCAGGCTCAGAGTTATTGGATAACCTACCTGCATACTAACCCGGAAGGCAAGGAGATGTAACTCAAGGTAGACCAGTTGGTGGCAGGTAGAGGATGAGGTTGCCACTGGTTCTTTTTCTCACTCTTGCTATTATACCCTGTTGTCTAGAACTCACGGCAAAGTTATGCACTTCAAGAACTTTTAACCCGGAGAAACACAAATTAAATTAGATGCCTAAAATTTATACCTAAAACCACAGTATGTAGTACCAGAAGAGTGTCTAGTTGGCAACTTGTTTGAGTTCAGGGGAAAGGAGGATCCCTTCCATCTGGGGGTTAAGCACTGTAAGCCTACACAATGCTGTCTGCCAACTGGTCTCAATAAAACTGGAAAAATCTTTGTGGAAACAGTGTTATTTGGGGCCTGGAAGAGCAGTTGGGCTCTGAAGTGGGTAGGGAGGAAGGAAAACATAGTCTAGGTGAGGAAACAGGGAAGATAAAAGCATAGAAGTGAACCAACATAATCATCCAGCATGATTTTTGGAGAACTTTTGAAAGAAATAAGTTCTCTAAATGAAAGGCCATTGGAAAGGAACAGCATTCCAATTACCATGTTGGCTCATGGGAATGAAGAACAATTGAGCTTTGAAAATAGTGATGGTCCCTATGCATTATCTAATATTTCATTTTTTAAAAAAGTGAAAAGTATAATGTTGATTGGAAAAAAGCAATGATTCTTCAAGCTTGACATTATTCCACAATTTCCAATATGTCTTATTGTGGAGCTCAGAGAATCTAGGACTGCTTAGTTTTCTTTAGTGACTTTTTTTTAATAGGTCAATTATGGCATTTTTAAAATTCTCCTCTAAATTTCCAATGAGACACAAATATCTTTCAGGGTTAAAAATGCTAAATTTTTGCCAGCTTTGTACTCTGATTTTGTCAATTCTCAGTTCAAAAATATTCAATGGCTTCCCTCTGCGGGTGGTAAGCTAAAACTCACTGTTGGTTCACTGAATGTGAACTATGGAATTAATGCTGAGAAGCTTGGCAATTGCATAGATTTGACTTTGGACAAACTATTCCAAGAGATGAGCATGTCAGGCAAAACCCCAGGTGCTGCCATGTCTCACCACAGTCACTGCCTTTACCAGAGATAAGTGGGTGACCACGACATCGCCAAGCTGCCGTCCACCAGGCCCGACTCTCAGAAGTTTGCTCTGGATTAGGTGCGACTTCACAAGTGTGGGGCCTGGAAACACACCGGGGCGCTTGGCCAGAGGCCTGCATGGGGGTTGTCATGGAAACACCAGAGCAGCTGAAAACCACCCCCATCTTTGACCCAGCACCTCCCTCATGTGAGACGGGTGACTGCCCTGCTCGCTTCAGAGCGTCCATTCTAGGCCTTTCTGAGGCAACGGGGAGGCAACGTTTACGTTCCTTTACGTTGTTATGAGGCAACATTACATCACCTTACGTAACATTACGGGACGTTACGAGGCAACATTACGTTACCTTACGTAACATTACCCGACGTTACTAGGTGACGGGGAGCACGTCCTTGGCCTTGACTGCCTAAGGGCCGTTTTGTGCTGATGAGCAGCCCGTCCAGACGCCCTCACATCACCTTGGCTTCCTCCCCGTTGAGGAGAGTGAAGTTGCTGCTTTGACGTCAGCTTTCTACAGGACTCGACATTCACTGGGTTGCCTGGGGAAAATGGAAGGAAACTCTATTTTCCAAAGAAATGAATATTTCTTTTTGGCAACCTCAGGTATATGACCAAAGGCCTAGTTTTGATGTGTGGTTGTCGGTACTTCCCCGGTGTGTGGGGATATTGTCGAATCTGATGGTTCTGTTTTTAACTGGAATGGCCAGTAACCGGGAGAACCCTGCTCTGCTGTCTTGTCCTGGACGTGACTTACGGGAGGGCCTCGGCACACAGATGGAGCTGTAGCCCGTCTCACCTGTCCCACCTCTCTTAAGGTCATGACTTTCAAGATTTTTCTAAATTTGTAAAAAGCTATGTGCAGAGAGGTTGTGGAGAAAAAGGAACTCTCCTGCACTGTTGGTGGGAGTGCAAACTGGTCCAACCACGATGGAGAGCTGTGTGGAGATTTCTGGATCTACTAAACATAGAGCTTCCATAGGATCCAGCAATTCCACTCCTAGGTGTTTACCCAAAGGACACAGAAACATCCATTCCAAAGAGCACCTGCACCCCTATGTTTATAGCAGCACTGTTTACAATAGCTAAGCTTTGGAAACAGCCCAAATGCCCAAAAATAGATGACTGGATCAAGAAGATGTGGTACATATATGCCATGGAATATTACTCAGCATTCAAAAAAGATAAACACATGCAATTTGCAGCAACATGGATGGCGCTGGAAGGGATCATGCTCAGCAAAATAAGCCAGAAAGAAAAAGGAAAAATACTGGATGGTCTCACTCATAGCAGGAATCTAGAAAACTTAAATAAGGGAGCAGGAAAAAGAATAACTATAAGAAAGTGAAAATCAAAATCAACAAACAACTATGAACTAGAGACACTCTATGGGGGGTGGGGGGTGGGGAGGGGAGGGATTGGGGTCAAAATAAGGGGGTTGCAATTGTATGGGGAATATAAAATTAAATTTAAAAAATTAAAGTAAATTTAAAACAAACAAACAAACAAAAAAAGCTAAGTGCACAGAGACCAAGCAGGAGTTTTGTGTCTGCTACAGCTTCACATATTCCATAGCTGCGTGTTTCTTGGGTAAAAAGCATCGACTTTTCGACATTTGCTGCTCATTTTGTGAGCCAGATCAGGCCGAGGAAATTCCAGTTTTTAAACGCAGCTGCGGAAGGTCATGAGGGATTGTCTGATGTTTTTGCCAGCTCCGCTGATAAACGGTGGCAGCTTGATTGTTCAGACCTCAGTATCCCTCAGGGCTCCTTTTTCTGAGACGGGGGTGTGCCCCCTTAAGCCACCTGGATGCAAAAAGGCATTTTCAGGTGGCACTGGGGTCTCCCGTGCCAGTGTTCTCACACTGAAACAACGCCGTTGTCCGTTCTGGACCAAGTGGTTCCTTGTGCTTTATTTTTATTATGCCGGCATGTATGTATGCATTTGCATTTTTAAATTGAAGTAACATTGTATTATAAGTTCCTGCAAGTTTCCAATGTGCATCCTTGAGAATCAACATATGTGTCTATGTTAAATTGCTGCTCAGCGTCCACTACTGTCCTTCACGGCACCCTACCTCTGTGTCTCCATTCACTCTCTCCCGCCCCTGCCCTTCTGGGGACACTAATGGGTCTTCTAGCAGGAGGCCCTGCTCTCCTTTGAGTTGGACAGAGCTGAGAGCCAGGCTGGTTACACTCCCTGCAGCAGGCTCCGCCCCCGGAATCTGTGCTGCAGCCAGCCCATGGGCCAAGACGCAGCATATAATCCAAGGCCCTGGTCCTGGACTCGTGGGTCATTCCTGGACCCACATGGCCATGGATGGAGTGGAACATTCTTTTGGGGTTTGGGTTGCTCTTAAATATATGCTCCAATCTTTATATGATGTAAACCCTCTTAAATTTTTCCTAGAAGTCACTATCATTATGGCCATTGCGTGTGTGTGTGTGTGTGTGTGTATAAACTGGTAACAGAGGTCCATGCAAGTACCCTCTACAATCACCATCAAACAGTATTTACTAAGAAAAGTCTTTCCCTGAGTGCTTTACCAGGTGAGGTATAAAGAGAATTACAGGTACGTGATCTGGAGGGACTGACCCTCTCGCTCACACAGGCTTCGACATGTAAGTCCCAAAATAAAACCGCCAGCCTCCTATGGAGCTGGTCTGTCTGGGGTGGCTGTGCTCGTCATTTTATGGCCGCCTGCCTTGCGGGGTAAAGGTCCCCTGACCTGCTGTACTGTGCTCTGGTTCGTGTCCCTGAGAATGACTCTGTCACCTGGTAACTATTTCACACCTGTTTTTTTAGTGCATTTGCGAGACTTCAGTGATGTTTATAGTAATATAAAAATAAATAAAGTTGGACTAAGTTTGCACCGAGAAGGTCTCCTCTCCTTACTCCAGAAACAACATTGGGAGGCGAGAGTAGGACCCGGGATGGAAGTGCTGACTCGGCCAGCGTGTGTCCTGCTCAGCTCCTCCAACTCAAGAAGCAGGTTTCCTGGCTCTAAGCACAGCCCCGCTCTTGCTCGGACAAGAAATGGCATAATAATAACACCTGCCCGCAGGTTGATGTCAGGATTAAATGAGTCAATGCAGGTAAAGAACTTCGAACAGCTCCGGCTTGACTGAACGTGCTCTATAAAGATAGGTCTTCAGTACTTGGATCCTGGCTGTGCACAGGGGAGGCAGCCATTGAACCTCTCAGGGTCTGGGTCACTTCTTAACCGTGAACTAAATGCTCTAAAACTATTTAGCTTGTTTGTTTGTTTTTTTCCTTCTAAATAAAGCATCTTTCAAATACCTAAAAGAAATCACACAGGGCCCCCCTGGTGGTGCAAGGGGTTAAGCACAGCACTGTGGAGCTATCTGCAGCCTCTGCAGCACGAGTTCAATCCCTGGCCAGCCAGGGAGATACCCACATGGCGCAGTAGATCCCTCCTGCCTCGCCCGCTGCTCCCCTCAGCAGTGTATTTCAGTCAGTCTGCCTGTTCTGCTCCCCACTCTGTCTCTGGTGAATCCTCTCACCCTCCGCACCTCTGGCCTGTACCCCAGCTCTTGTATGCATAAATAAATAAATCTTAAAAAAAATCACACAAAGGAGGGGGTCATGTGATTTATCCACCAAAACAGGGTGTTTTTTAGTCTGAACAGAGAGACTATTAATAATTAAGCACCACAGAGGACAGTGGTGAGATGGTGAGCCTGCAGTTGGAGCCATCTGCCTGCATTGGGGACGGGGCTTCTGCGCGGAGGAGAGCGATGTGTGGGTTGCCCCGGGTTATAAGGGAGGCACGGCATCAGGCACACAACTGGAACAATTTCCAAAATGTGCTGTGCTCTCTGGCCTCACATTTGAATTCCCCATTTATTTCTTCCAATCTCCAGGGCAGAAAAGGTCTCAGCATCAGTGAGGAAACAGACTTGAGTTAAAAGTCAGTTGTGTGGACGTCTGAGTATTCTCTTAGAGTGCTGTTTCCACGCTCCCGAGAGGGAAACAGTTTTCCCCATTACTGATGGAAAGTTAAGTCTCCTCATAAGGAGGGCTTCCCTTCCAGAAATTCAAACCGAGAATAAGTATCAGACAATGTGATTTTGTGCCAGTGAACAGCGCTTTCTGAAGATTTGAGTGGAATAATTTGTTTTTCATGCTTTATAGGTAGCAGATAAAACCTACATGGAAAAATGGACAAGAAGAAATGGAAAATAAGACCCAGAATCTGGACTGGTAAGCTGAAAAAGCAATTTGTTTTATTTCAGCTGTGCTCAAAAATAACTTGAGGTTAACAAGTATTTCTACTGGAAGAATCAGCTACAATTAGGTCACCACCTTCGAGAAGATGTGGGCGGAAACTTAAGCACCCAGCCTATCATTATAAAGGTACTTTATCAGTGAAACTGTCACTTAAGGATTGTTGACTTAGGATGATTAAGAGGCTAAAATATCAAAGAGGAAGATGAAGAGTTTGTGGAAAGGACCTGGAAGATCAACAGCAGCTGAGAGGCTAAATAGGAGAAAGTTGTTGTACTAAAATTCCTTGGGGAGAGAGTCTTGAATTCCTTGACTTCTATGCCCAGTTGGTGTGAAAGAAATAGTTAATTGCTTTCCTCAAGGTCCCTGTTCTGTTCACACAAACATGAGCCACACGCTGAACCCTGACAAGCCTGCTGTATAGATAACAGACATGGCTTTGCACATCTTCCTCTGAAGCTGCAACCACACGGTGCTGTTCAGACGCCCCTCCGACAGCTCGGGGTCCGAGGTCTGAGGCCAAGGGGTTGATGCTGTGTATGTCACCTTCACCCACTAGGAATGAATTAATTTTTTTTCTGGACATTTGTCTGAAAGTCTAAAAAAGATTCAATTGTGAATGTGATACGAATCATTATTATGAGTTGAATAAAGGGTAGATTTGATAAATATTTGAATCCAGATGAGCCTTGGCCTCCAGAAGAATATTATTTCCTGTGAACTGATTTTTTTCAGCAGATTTTCCTTGATAACTCTTTGACTTGACCATAAACCAGCCAGTGACAATATACTGTTTTTTTTTTTTTTTAAGTTTCCTTTCATCATCACATAATATAGTTTACGTTTCACCATAGCTGTGTCTGTTTCCTTGGCAACAAAATGGTTCTGAGACCTGTTTTTTTGGTATTTGTAGGTCATTCGTGCCGGCTGGACCAATGCCTTAAAGGATGGGGCTTAGGGGGCCTCCCCGGTGGTGCAGCGGTTGAGCGCTGAGCTGCGAAGCTGCCCGCAGCCTCTGCAGCGCAGGTTTGATCCCCGGCCACCGGTGAGGGTCCCACATGGTGCGCAGACCTCTCCTGCCACCCGCTGCTCCCCTCAGCAGTGTACTTCGTCAGTCTGCCTGTTCTGTTCCCTGCTCTGGCTCTGGTGAATTCTCTCACCCTCCCCCGCTTCTAACTGTACCCCAGTTCTTGTATCAATTAAAATAAAAGGGTTGGGCTTAGGACAGTTGTTAAGCACGAGGCGCAGAGGGTGGCAGAGTGCTTGATGCCAGCAGAGGTGTGGGGGAGAGGTGGCAGGGAGGGGAGATTGTGGTTGGGAAAGCTCTAGTCAGTAAGTTCTTAGTTTTCTTGTTAATTTTTTCTTTATGGTTAAAAACAATCTAACCTCATGAAAACAACGATGATATTGTCATCTACATGTTAAAAAGCAGAAAATGAATTCAAGAAATGAAGTCATCCTCCAAGATCTCACAACCAAGAGGTGATGGTAACAGATCCAAAGCTGGTGACCCGTTGTCAAAGCCACCTGCCTGATGCTGGTCCCCAGGGGGAGCTTCATGTCTAGTTCTGGGTCCTGTGGGTGTGCCACCCCTCCCTTGTAGACCAAGGAAGAAGTCTCTACATGTAGACGTTGTCCGTCAGCAAGCAAGGTAGTTTTTGGAGGATTAAGACTTAATGAACAACCCAAACCATATCCCAGGCATCTGTCTTGTCTTCAACATGACTTCTGGGAATGTTAGGAATTAGAAGATCCAGGGGTGGTGTGAATCACAGGAAACATGAAGCTAAAATACTGCATGAGTCATTCTTTCCAGAAACAACGGCCTTTATCTCCAAAACTCTTGACTGAAATTTATAGACAAGGGCAAAATAAAAGCTACTTAAATTTAACATCGTTATTACCAATAATTACTAAAATAATTACTATTAATAATAAATGGTTTTTGCTTTTTGATAAGTATCAGCACTTTGGATTATTTGGTTATCAAACCATCCACTAGTGTGTCGTGTCTTCTGGATGTAAATCAGTGGTGATGACGACCATGGTGATGATACACAATCGTTTACTGTCAGGGTCACTCACACCTTCTCCCTTGTGTTCCGGACCTACGACAAACTTGGTTCTCAGACAACTGGAAATGGGTTTTAGAAATGTATTGGAGATGGAGTCATCAGAAGTTAGCCAATGATTAGATTAGGGGTGAAGGGCGGGGGCAGCAGAGTCAATTCTGAAGCTTGAACCCTGGTGACAAAGGGGTCGTTCTAGAAACAAGGATGTGGCGAGTGTGAGAAGTTGACGAATTCTGTTTGGTGCACATTTGCCTTGGGGTTCCCTGAGGTGATTTCCTGACAGATGTGTTTAGGACTCAATTGAAAATACAGTCAGAGCTTAGGGGTGGGGTGCCTGGGGGTCAGTTGACACTCATGGGTCTATGATGTTCAAGGCAAAAGGGGAGACCCCAAAGAGTTGAAGGTCAACTGGAAAGAGGAGAGAGTGTAGGACACATGTGGGGCAGGGAGAAGAGCGGCCAGAGGAGGAATCGGGAAATGAACAGCGCGACCCTAACAGAGACGAGAAATGAGCATGCTGTGAAAAGTAGGGCAGAGAGGGTGGATATTTATTTCAAAGATGAGGTGGGTGAGATGATGGGTCTTAGAGTTTCAAATAAGTTAACAAAGTGCATGTCATTGTGTGCCAGAGAGTCCCACACAGAGTCAGGAAAAAGGGAGGGTGTGACTAAGAAGCTCCGAATTCTACACAGTCTGCCCTCTGACTTACACGGGAGGAGACCATTGCAGTGAGGACAACTCTTTGGTGTCCTGCTGAGGAAAAGTGGCGTAGAAGTCACTATTTTAGAGGAAGAAAGGGAAAAAAGAAGAGAATTAAGGTGGTGATCTGCAGGGATGGCGGAATAGAACAGAAGGGCATTTTCTGTTGAGACAAGCTCAGCGGGCGAGAGAAGCCAAGGAAAGAGGAGGAGAAGCGAATGGAGGGTCCTTGGGGAATCTTATGGGGTTCCTTCTAGATTCCTCAGTGGACTTATCTTCCTCTCCCACATATGAACAGAGACTGTTGTATATGGGCTCACTGCCCATCTTAGACAATCATATTTTGTTATCTGGTATTATAATATTTACTGCAATCAACAATTTCCTCCCCTAATTACGCGGCACCAGGGACAGCAAACAGTTTCAGATACATGTGTATGTTGGTCTGTCCTTGGGTGCTGCCCTCTGATCCACCTTTTAGATTTCCCGACATGATCTCTCAATGTTCTTCCTCTTAAGTCATGCACCATCTGTTTTTAAAACACAAAAGTTGACCATCAACATTGGCACTAAGGCTTCCACCAGTGGAGGAGCTTCCAAACCCAAAGCCAAGAAGAGCTCTCCAAGCTAGGACAAGGTGATGTGTGAGCCATGGGGTCCTCGTAGTGGGCTCCACATATCCACATCTCCCCAGAACCTCAGAACGGGACCTTCTTTGGAAATAAGGCCTTTGCAGATGTGATAAGAGGTCATGCCAGAGCAGGTGGCCCCTCAGTGAAACATTCCTGTCCTTGCAAGAAGAGAAGACAGAAAAACAGAGGGCGAAGACCTCGTGAAAACTGCAGCGGAGACTGGATGACACAGACTATCCCGGGAATGTCACGGGAAGCTGGGGGTCCCCCAAGACTAGAAGAGGCCAAGAAACCTCCTTCCCTAGAATCTGAATAGGAAACATGGCTCTACTGACCCCTTGACCTTGGACGTCTAGCCTCTGGATTGTGAGACCAGCCCATCTATTGTGATGAACACCCGTGGTGACTGGTCACTGCTGCGCGGAACACAGGCCCCGAACACGAACACTTCACTTTCACTGCCCAGCTGGGAAGCTTCTCCCAGGAGCCCGCGTGGACCAGGAGCCCGTCCTGAAGCCACTAACATGATTTCAGGCCTGGGGAATCCTCGCCCCGGGAGGCTTCATGTCCAGGTATGTGTATGTCTTCGGACGGCCCTTGTCATTACCATGTCCCGGCTTCCAGCTGCTTCCTTTGAACTTCAATCAATGGCTGAAGCAGGGACGTTGTTTTGACTATGCTGACGGCTTCTAGACTCCCCGCTCTGTGGTTTCCAGGTCACACAGGCAGGCTTTGTTCTGTGAATCATTGCTGAAAGATTCAATTAAACCTGGCTTCTCCCGCCCTGTGGCCAGGGTTTCAGGGACTCGGTGAGAACAGGGGCATTTAACAAGTCACTGAGGAAAGCCAGGCATGTGAGGGGCGCGGGGGCTGACACCAGACAGGGAGCACGGAGATTAGGGGGCTGGAGACTGGGGCTGGATGAAGTGGCCCGTGTCCAGCTTTTGGCTTGGAGGCAACGGCTGATCCCTGGCCCACCACCTTAGGACCTGAGAGGGAAAGTGAGGGGTTGTGGAATCGTTTAAGAGTCGACGCGTCAAGGGGAGCAGAGACATGTGTTAGCTCCGCCATCTTTCCCCACAGGAATGAGAACGAATCACAATGTGAGTCTGGTTACGATCTTGATGGAGGGAGGCCGCCTCTGAATTCTGACACCACGAAAAAATCCTTATAAAAGCAAAATCCTTATACACACACACACACACACACACACACAGAGACAGAGACTTACTCTGGTGAAGCGTCCACCAAAGAATATGGAAGTCAGGGGTGCTTATAGCTCTCTGCAGAGGCAGGAATTTGGAAAAGCTTAAGTCCCTCTCCCAGAAAGAGAGAAGGTAAAAGACCAGCTCCGTCCAGGGCCCGGTGACACAGCGCCTCCTGGCAGGCTTGCTGGACAGGAAGAGTCCTGTCCAACCCTGAAGACCCAGCGGGAGGATCCGTGCCCATCCAGTGCGCGGTGGCCCTGGGCAGGCCCCGGAAGCTATTTCTAGGGTCAGCCGTTCCTACTGGCCCTGTCTTCCCTGCAGGGCTGTGTGGGGCTCAGAGGAGACATGGCCTGTGAACTCCTCCTGCCAGTTTCTAAGCATCGTAAGAACACAGATACGATGGGCATCCTTTCCTCTCCCCACCTCCGCACCCCCCCATGCCACGCTGGGCCCAAGATGCCCCACTCAGCTACCTCATTTGCCACATGGCATCAGGAGCCCCTAGCGTGAGGCTGGCCTCAGAGAAGCCCAGCTGCAGGGACCATGGTGGGTCAGGACTGCCCCTTCCCCTCTGGCCTCAGCTGTGCATTCTCCTCATGGCTGGTAGGAAACACTGTTTTGAGAGACTAGTGTTGCTTCCCTCTCCAGGGTGGGTGGAACCAGCCACCCAGCCTGTGGCCCTGCCAGACTTTTCCTTGGGCCACAGCAGGAGCACCACCCAGTGTGTTAAACCGTGCTTTGGCGCCTGCCTAGGCTCCTCCCCTTCCTTTGCAGGAGGGCACTAAGGCACTGTAGAATGGGGAGAAATGAGGAGACTGTGGAAAAAAAGGGGGGAATGTGGTCAATGAAGGGGAAGGGTACTTATCAAGGACAGGAGCTTCCCTAGGCTTGTGAAATCATCCTGGCATGATGTGTTCCCAATGGGTATAGTTTCTCTCCTTCCAGGATGCTTAGGCACTTCCAAGGATGGTTCCTTCATTTCCTGAACTCTCCCCACCCAGTCTGAAACACAGTGAATGCACCTAAATAGCTTGGGGAGCAACTATGAAAGGCTGTGGGCCCCGGTATAACTTAGTTTTTTTGTGCCATAGAAATGGAAATGTCTAAAGAGAGCTCGTATTGCAGTTCCTGAGAGGGGAGGTAATGGTGCAGAGGGCAACCTCGAGGGTGAGGTTGTACGGACACCACAACCCCCTGCAGGTGCTGAGATGCCAGGTCTCCACTGCCACAGCTGTGCAGAGAGAGGATCACAGGATGAACTCCCAGGTACCAAGCACCCCCATCGCTCCCTGCTCAGAGGATCCAAGAGGATGGAGTGGAAGGACACGCCTAGCAGACCCAGTTCAGAGGCAGAAGAATGAGCACAATGAGCAGTTTCCACAGCGATAAGATCACTTCCTGCTCTGAACATCTAGGACTCGAGGTTTGTTGTCCCACCACTGACCAGGATCTCTGAGATTCTACCTCTCTGCTGCTCCCATCCTGCTCCCCTCCTGAAGGCTGTCTTTATGTCTGTTTCATTTGAAGCCACCTGACCGTCGGGGAAGACCAGCCAGGTCCATGAGCTGGCAGAACATCAGTGGAGCAGGGGAACTAGGATGATCCTTTTGTTTACCAACCAGAAGCACTTCCATGAGTTTATATGTGATAGGAGTAAGGTCTGGCCCTCCTAACCATGGTGCACTTGCAGACAAGGGTCTGCTTCCAGAAGTAGCTTCCCTGGGTAGGAATCCCTAAGAAGGGGGGACTTCATGCGTGATCCAGTATATGAGTCACATCAAAGAGAATCAGCTCTGGGGCTTTGCGCCGTGGCAGAAATGAGCAGTGGCATGGGGCCAGTCCCAAAGGTGGGCCAGAAGGACAGGTTCAAGATGGTGAACCTCACTGCCCTGCTGCTGCTATGTCATGAACCAGGGTGGTGTATGTACCCACACATCTGGAACACCTCCATGAGTAGCTCCAACACTGGAGATGGGGATGGACCCTGTTGACATTTTCCATAAAGGCAGATAAAACTCAACAACTATCTATAGGCAACAGCAGTGCCATGCGTTGGGTTACAGCACCACAGGTGACCTTGTGTTTGCCTGAGTGCTGCGAGGTTCAAGGGCTCGTGGGTCATTGTGACCAACCAGGAGACTGGAAACTGTCAATGGACACTGTCTACACCTGCCTCCCCAAATTCATAGGTTAGATGCTGACACCCAATCATGTTGGAGTTTGGAGGTGGGGATGGTTTGAGGTGATTAGGTCATGAGGGTGTAGCCCCCATGAAGGAGATTAGTGCCCTCCAGGAGGGCACTAATTAGGACCCCAGGGAGCTCCCTGCCCAGGAAGGGGTCCTCATCAGATACTGAACCTGCTGGCACCTTGCTGTTAGACTTCCCAGCTTCCAGAGCTGTGAGAAATGAGTATCTTGTTTGTAAGCTACTCAGCTGGTTTTGACAGAGCAGGCTGAACGGCCTTGGCCAACTGAAAGCCACAAGTGAGCCCAGGGGATTCCCGGGCTGCCAGGGATGCCAGGTGCCTTCATCTTTCCTGTCTCTCTGTACCCCAGGGCTCCCCCATCTTGGGTGTTAGGCATCTTGACCAACTGGGAGTCCTTTCCTGCCCAGGTTTCTGTACATGCCCACACCTCCTGCCAGAACTCCCTTATCTTTCCTTCCTCTGCTAAAATCCTGCCGCTGAAAGCATATTCGTGTCTGCTGTTGCCTCCTCAGACTGGTCCATACCCCGCCCTGTGCTTCTTGGCTATGGGTCTGGTCAGGGGCCCTTGATGTCTCGCTATCCAGTTGAGCTTTGTGAAACATCTGTGGCACTTGGCGGCTTTATCATACTAAACCCCACAAGTGTCTCACTGGGTACTGCCACCTCGGTGAGCATGTCACAAACACCGACGCCTTCTGTCCAGTCACTCAGATCCTGGTTTACAGCTGGCCAGACGAAGTCTCAAAGAGGCAAAGGACTTGCCTGAAGTCACACAACTAATAGACTTTCGTGTTCATAGCACCTGAACTGGATCGAGTAGTGTTCCCCAAACTCAGGCCTCAGAACCTGAGAACCTCACTTTCATTGACAGGTTAGCTAATTAAAAAGTGGTACGGCTGGATTGAGTCATATAAATCTGATGACTGATGTCCTCAGAAGAAGAGAAAACAGAGACACTCAGAGGAAAGACGCCGTGATAATGGATGCAGAGATGGGAGTGAGGTGCCCAGAAGCCAAGGATGCTGACTGGCAACCTAGCAGCAGGCAGAAAAAGGCCAGTAAGGATTCTCCCTGAGAACCTCCAAAAGAAGCGGGGTCCTGGCTTGATTCCAGCCTTCTGGCATTGGAGTTGCACAAGGAAAAGTTACTGCTGTTTTCAACTACCCATTTGCGGCCACTTGTTATGGCAGCCCCAGGAAGGTCACAGGCTGCTCCTCCAGAGAGCAAGGGAGCGGCTTCTCTAGCAGCTGGGCAGCCCCACCTTTTTACAGGACAGGGGAGAGGGCCAGCAGCCTGCTTTCCCCCCCGCACAGGATGTCTGGGGATTCCCAGAACCTCACACAAGATGGAGCTGACACATAACCACGCACATTGGGAAGGTCAGACGCAGCCTCCTGGTGCCTCGATTTAAAAAAAAAAAAAGGGACTCATTAGTGAACACGAGTGCAACACTGTTTTCAGCACAGTGGGAGGGAGCAGGTAAGAGGTGAAATGGACCACGTGCCTGGCTCAAAAATTAACACTCGGGGAGCAGGACATGAATCAGTCCATATGCAAGTGATGGTTTCAGAATGATAAGCCATCTGAAGGAAAATTCCCTTCTAGAAAGATAATGAGGTGTCACGAATTGAGCACTATACCCAGAAGCAAAATGTCAAGTAGAACGGTGATGTCCTGACCGGGTAAACGTCACACACGCCCACAAGGGCATCTGCACAGCCGTCCAAGTGGGACCTGTGAGCTTGGACTCGGGCCTTCCTGCTGGTCGCTAGGCAGCTACCTCGTGGCCGGCGTGGCCCTTGCAAGTTGGTTTCTCCATGGTGGGGCCGGCAATTAAAAGGATGACTGGCCAGGCAGCCTGCCCAGACCAGGCGGGAGGGGAGCAGAGACTCCCAGCTGGTTCGTCCCTAGCTGAGCTGGCAGCCAGGCCGGCCGTTCCCTGAAAGGGCCACTCTCCTTCCCTGCCAGGAAAAGTCCAGGGCCTCTGGGGAGCACCCTGAGGGGTGCTGAGCCCCGGGCACGCGTGGCTGGCGGATGCGCTCACCTCCGGGGGTACTTCTCAGGTGGCTGCTTTGAGAAAGACACATGGAGCCCATTTCAGGAGTTCTGAAAACTGCTGGGAAGAACAAAAGGCTGTTCCCCAGATCTAACATGTGCACCTCAGAGCTGGCTCACGAGTGTGGGTCGCATTAAATCCAGGCAAAATGACTTCACTATACGGGAATATAAAATAAGGGCCCGATTAGCAATGAGAAAGCAGAAACCTTTATATTAAAATAGAACCATCTTGGGGGAAGGAGCAATTCTGGGGGCAAAAGCAACTAATCCCCTAGGTGGGGGCTCCCACATTTCTTAGTGACTTTCTACTGGATTTGCCTTCTCAGGTCAAACACCATGAAAATGATACAGGGTAGGTTTGCAGGGGAATATTGGTCTGTTTGCTTGACCCTAGAGGCACATATGCACATACACATGGGTGCACGGACGCACGCAGACACACACGCACACACGCATGCATGCGTGTACATAAGGAAGTGACTCAGGAATGAGCGGGCAAGATAAAGCAATGGTCTGATTTCTTCCATATTGAGCTTCTCCACTCACTAATTTCTAAAAGCTGATGTTTGCATGTCCTCTGGAGTCGGGCAAGGGGTTGTGGGGAAAGTCACATTCCCACTGAGGTGGCTGCAAAAGTGCCAAGCTGGCTCCAGGCCCCCTGAGCCTTGGAAAGAGGCGCATCCCCCTTAGTGAGGGAAGAAGCAGGGAATCAAGACCCAAGTTCCAGTCAACTAAACATGGAGCTCATTTGGCAACCACGGGGTCGTTTAGCGGCAGCAGAGCGACCAGGAGGAACAAGGTTTTCTTGATCATTGCCATTCCCATTTTAATTTGAAAAAGTAAAAATAATCTTTGAAGACATTTTATAAACTTGAAAGAAGGCATGCAATATTTACCCGCGTTGTCAACACTCTAAATGCGTGGCTCAATGACCCTTTTCCATGGGTAAGTAAGGACCTCATGAAAGAGTTTGCATTTTAGGTTCATGTACGCATACATAGACATTTTCAGGCCTGTCATTAAATCGGTCAATATAAGGGGCCTAGAAAACAAAATCCATATTTTAAATCTGTGGGATGATGTTAACTAAACAGTTGGTACTTATTTCCCAGCACGTGTAAGTCCAGACCTGATGCCACACACCTTGACCCTCTACAGTGCAGATGCTCAGCGACAGAGCAATAAAGCTGGAAAAAGAAAAGAATGGAAAAAAAATTGGCCTGAACTTCCAGCCTAAACATTGACTGGGAACCTCTGTTCTGCACCCTCGGAGACCTCAGCCAAATTCTGGGGCGGTTAGTTTGGTTTCCTGGCTGGAATTGCAACACGTTGCAGCGAAGAGTCCTGTAGACAAGCGGTGAACTGGGTGTCAGGAAGTCCGGGAAAGCTGAGTCAGATGGCGCCCGCGCGGTGGCACCGGGCTGGGGGGAAACTTGACCAGTAGCCGGAGTCAACAGCCGGCAGAAGGCCAGAGGGCTGGGCCAGGCCAGGCGGGAGGTGCAGGGCGGGAGCCGCCACCAGCGGCGGAGAGCAGGGCTGGGAGGGCCCTGGCTGTCCCCACGAACCCTGCAGCCCAGCCCCACCCTTCCCAGCAGAAACTTTCTGACCCTTTCAGCTCTGACCACAGCGGGTGGAATTTAATGACCGAGGAACTCATTTCTTGTTGGTGTTGGTGAAATAAAAATGATAGGGTGAGTAATGAGTTCAAATCCTCTTTCTCCTAATGGGAAAAAAACATACTGCGATTCTGTTTGAGACGACCTCTAGGGAGAAGGGTTGCCATGTTCTGAGGGACACTTTGAGATGTGAGTGCGCCAAGGCTCCATTACTCAGGGCCTGTGTACACTGGGGGCAGGTTTGGACGCAGGCCACGGAGGGGCTGAGGTCTCCTAGTTCTTCCTCTGTGTCCTCACCTTCTGGGACATACCCCTGGGCAAGTGTGTTTTGGATTCTTCGCTCTTCGGTCTGCCCTTCCCACCATGCAGAGCGCCCCTGCCTCACCTCCAGGGCACACTTGCTTTTCAGAACTTTGAGCACTGAGAATGGTTGGGGTCCTGGCCCCTTTTCTTGCCCTTGGGCCTTGACCCTCCTATGCCTGCAGCCTGCCTCCTGGCAGTAGGACCTGGAGCCGGGGATTTGACTTTCCACCTCCAAGGGAAGATCCCCCCTCACCACACCTCCCTGTCAAAGCACCTCCAGGGCTCGGGACTGACTTTAGATTGCTCCCTCTCCACTGCCACAGGGCCCGGGTGTGCACCCCAGGAAAGAAGGAGGGAATTCAATGGTGGCTAACCGGAGGATGGCCAGGAATCTGGTGCAGGAGAGAGAGGGGGAGACCCAGGAGGGGTGCAGCTGTGGGCAGGGACTGGCGGAGGCCTGCAGGGAGAGAGAGCAGGAGGGCCTCCCCACTTCCTGCCAGCATCCTCGGGCTCTCGACTGCTCCTTCCCAACCCCACGCACGAGTCTGCTCCAGCAGCCATCAGAGATGCCGAAACTTCAGCAAACAGCAAGCAGGACCTTTGGTCTCAAAGCCAAGTTCCTGGGACAGTGTTGACCCTTCGTAAATAATGGTCGGCTCAAAAACGAAACCCAAACTTCCCTCTCTTTGCCCTCACCATTTGTCTTCAGCGCTTCTCTTTTCTCTCCCACAACTGTCAGTGGCCCAAAAAAAAAAAAAAAAAAAAAATCAGTTTTCACAAAGATCTCCCTTACAGAAAGAGCTGCTGCGAATGATCTAAAAATGTAGGCATTTCTTCAGGGTAACGTTCCCCAGAGCTTATCACTTTTCTTTATACTGTGAGGCCAGGAGGTTAAAAAACAAAACAAAACAGAAAGACACAAAACAACGAAAGAGATTTTAGGTCTTGAGCAAGGGGACAGCGAGCCTATCAAAATATTTTGCAAAACTCAGAAGCATTGCTACCACGAAGACAGACAATTAATTTCAAATTTGGATTTCTTAAAAGACAGACAGACCCACCACACACACACACACACACACACACACACACACACCCTCCACCAAACTGCAGAAATTTGCTTGAGAAAAGAAAATGACTATTTGTTTCCACAATGAGAAACACATCCCCTGGCTTCCGGCCACTTTCTGTCATGGCCTGCAGGCCTAAATGGCATTCATTTATCAGGAATTAAAAATATGAATGAAAATCTTTACATGAGTTCAAATAAAGTCAGAGTGTCAACATTCTCCCTTGCTTTGCAAGGGAGGATACTGGACGGCAGTTGACTTAACAATCGTTTTTCTGAGCATAAATCCCAAGCCTGGAGGCCCATATTTCATTTCAAGCTAAGAGCTGCAACTTCACAATTAAAAAACCCCAAAAAAACAAAAAAACAGGCATCTTATTGCCACAGGAGATAGGGCGGTGTGATGGCTTTGAGGCCGTCTCTTCCTGCAGCATATCTGGCCTTGAGTCCGCAGATCCCCCGCCAACATCAAAGGAAGCTGTAGGAGCCGGTGTGTGGAGCACCAGATAGCTGGGGACGGGGCACCCTTCCTTTGCCAAGAGGAATTGCTAAAATTAGCTGGGGAGGTAGCCTCAGTGCTGGAAGGCCCGGCTCGCGCCATCTCCCTTAGTAAATGCTTGAGGACTTGCTTATTTCCAGACCTTCCGAGAGAAGGGCTTCGAGCACTGCAGGAATGCCTTTCTCTCTGGCACATCCTCCCTCTGTCTCTCTGGAGCTCCTCACGCTGACACTCACATCCACGTCCTCTTGCTTCGGGCTCAGGGCACACAGGGAGCCCTGTTGTTTCCTCCGGCTTTCTGTTCAGCTGGGTGCTGCCATAGGGGCTCACTGGGGCCTTCTCTGTGCATTTGGGAGGCATGAGGGGTGCAAGTCCTGCAAGCGTGTGGGGGTGCAATGCATGAGGTCACCTGCCCAGCAACATCTCTGCCCCCCACGTCCCCTCTGCCCGCCCTGTGGGCTCTGAAGCCTGTCCCTCGTTGAGACGGGCACTTTGGGATAAGCCCTGCTCGTGCTTCTGTCCCTTTTGTAACTTTGAGTCCATCAGGAAAGGGTTAAGTCCCTGAAAATTAGTATCTTTACTGTCCTGATTTCCTCTTTCAAAAATATTTAGGGAAGCAAGATGGGCTGGGAGAGGCGTGGGGAGGAGGAGAGAGGGCTTAGGAAAGGGGACCTGGCGGGGGCCACAGAGATCAGCCCCGTGTCCCCGAGAACGTCCCTTGTGGCTTCCTCGGGAGGACCACACCGCGGCCATGAACACTGTGTGACGCCGAGAGATAAGGCGGCGGTTCCTGCACCATGAGCTCCCCGCCCCCTCGCCGCCCGGCTTCCTCCCCTGAGGAGCTCTCCCTGGCTTTCAGCACCACGAGCCTCAGCCTCCACTCTGCGGGGCGAGGAAGGAGCCAGGTCCCCTCATTTGGTCAACTGCTTTCTTCTTAAGACCAAACACATCACAAACCCTCCCTGGCGTGCACACGGGAAATCTGTGTTCCCAAGCAAACCCTGGGCTTGCAAGGAGCCAGCCTTTGTTGCTCTGCCCGAAAATGGGAGACGGAATGGGCGTGACCTGGGCGGGCACATGGCTGTCAGTGGGTCTAGTCTGGGTGACTGGCAGTGGCTCTCTGGCCTGGGGCACCTTGACTGCAGGCCTGTGGGTGAGTGGGGCACAGGCAGCTGGGCAGAGGGGCCCTTAATCTCACGCCAGCTGGACGCAGCTGGGAGCCTGGTGTGCAGGGCCTCCCTTGGCCCAGGCTCCAGGACCCTCTCTGGCGCAATACAAGGCCAGGGCTCCAGACCTGCCGTAGAACAACACACTGTTGGCATCTGCTAGCAGGCTGCCTCTCCTCCCAACATCACAAAACGCATTCCACTTGGTGTCTGTTTTGCAAGTGTTACTATCTGTGTTTTATGGACAAGACCAGCAGAGAGCAAGGCCTCTGAGCTCCCACACATGAGTGTGCGTGGCGAGGGGCTGCCTGGGGGCCCAGCGATTCCTGAGTCCCAGAGTCCCAGTCTGGTGTATGGCTGCCTCCCCCACTCCCACCTGACTAAATTCCTTCCAGAACAGTCTTTCTGGCTTGCAGATCTCAAGGTCTGGTGGAGTTGAAAGGAACACGTGTGTTCCAAACCCCCTGAAAGACAGACTCGCATTTAAAACACACAGAGTCTAGTGCCCAACATGTGGGGATGGAGATGAAAGAATTGCATTTTGTGACCACACATGGTTCAGTCCTCACCCCCTAGGACGCACACGGAAATGAGTAGAAGCTCTGACTTCTCCTGTCCCATGAGGCTAACACCATGCAGATCCCAGCCTTCTCCACTGAAAAATATGGTCATCCCATTAAATGAGAACTTCTAAGTAAGTCACTACTGACATCATTGAGAAAGAGGAACCTGCTGGGTGAAGGCTAAGTGAAATTTTCCAAACTAGTTCAGCTGGCTCTCCCCAGGAGAATGAGCTGATAACCTTCTCCCCCAAGACATTGGAGCCACCCTTACATTTGACTCTTGCTCAGTTGTTTCTTGAATTGTGACTCAATTGAAGGCAGGTGACTTCAATACAAGACACCAGAATATCCCAAAACAATAGGGGGCAAGATAGAGAAGGAATCTTTTGCTCAGGATAGAGCCATAAGCAATTCCTAAAAAAGAAACTCAAAGTCTACTGTTTTTTCCCAATCTACAGAAATGATAATACCATAGTTTTCTTTGGACACTAGTTAAACAACAACCAACCAGTCCCCACTGATCGCGTCCCTACTGTGTGTGAGGTTCTGCGAGGGAGTGTTCCTCAGGCGAGCGGTTCCTGCACTTTACTTTTGCATCCATGATGATGATTTTGGAAATTCTCAATATTTGGAAAGTCTTTGTTACCTCTTTATGTCTCTCATCTCTCTCATATTTGCCTTATGGAGTGGCCTCTTGATTTGGGTATTGTTCTGGGGGAAGTATGGATGAGGCCACGCTTGATGGTAACCTTGAGCCTGCAGGGGAATGGCTAGTTACTAGGTCGCTGTTGCGCCACTTCTTTCAATGCTGGGGTGAGTTGGGCCGCCCCTGATGTGTCTAAGTCAACTCCTGGATTTTCCCTCCAAATCTAACTCCCCATGGTTCTTCCTGCTTCTACTGCAACTTTAGTTCCCGCATTGCTGATGCTAAAGAGTATTTTAATCTTCTCTTCATCTTTTTTCTGCTCGTACTCTCTACCCAACCTGTCCTCGAATGATGTTCATTTTACCTTTAGAACAGTGATTTCATTGTCCCTGCAAGTCACCTCTATTTGTACTCCACCCCCCACCCCCCCCGCATTTGCAATAATCCCCTATTTGGCTCTATTTTTAAAAAAGAATTTTAATAGCTTTATTTACATCAACTTACATATCATACTGAAGTAAAAAATTCAATTTTCTTTGTTTTGGTTTAGTTTTGTCTGTTCCTTTGCTTTGTTTCTTTATATTCCACATATGAGTGAACTCACCTGATATTTGTGTTTCTCTTTTTGACTTATTTTGCTTTGCATGCATTTAGAATGGTTATTGTACAACCATTTTGACTATTACCAAAACTGTTCAGCACCCCAGAGATTTGATAAATTGGGAATAGAGGAAACCATTCAATATAATAAAGTTTATACATACAAAACTCTATGGTTAATATCATACTTAATGGTGAAAAACTGAAAGATTTTCCTTTTAGAGTAGGAGCTAAACAAGGAACTTTGCTGCTTCTAGGTACCATCGTACTGGAAGGTCTAGCCAGAGCAATTAGGCAAGAAAAGGAAATAAAAGACATCCAAATTGGGAAAGAAACATAACATTATCTCTGTAGATGACACAATCTTGCATATGGAAAATTCTGTGGAATATACACAAACCCAGATCTACTGAAATAAGGGATTCAACAAAGTTGGGTCTTTGCAGTGATACAACAGAATACATGTTTGTAATGAAAAATCTAAAAAAGAAATGAAAAATCAATTCCACTTTTGATACCATCAAAAAGATGTTGGACTCAATTTAGCCAAGGAAGAAAAAGACTTGTATGTTGAAAACTATAAAACACTACTTAGAGAAATGAAGGGAGATGCAAATAAGTGAAGTGGCACCCCACACTCATGGAATGTCATTTAAGACTTAAATGGAAAACTTAATAATACTAAGATCCAATGCAACCCCTATCAAATGCCATGAGGACTTTTGCAGAAATGGAAAAATCCACCCTACACCCTATTTGGCATTTATACTTACTGTTTCTCCTGTCTGTCACACCTTGGCACCAGATATCTATCTGTTGCCCTTTCTCCCCTCTTTCAGCTGAGGCCATCACCACCTCAGTCACCTGTGATCATCATCTTCTCACTGTGATCATTCCTCACCACCTTTGCACCCTCAATTGCCTCTTATTTTTTCTCCATTCCTTATAACATTATCTTCTCTTAATACCATGAGACTGTATATTTTACTTATTTATTTTTGACTTCTAGTCTTTAACATAAGTTATATGAAGACGGTGTTTTCTGCCTAGTCAGTGCAATACCCACAGCATCTTAGGCACATAGTAGGCAGTTGAGATAGTTATTGAAAGCAGGAATGAGTACAAAACATAAGAGGAAAATAAATGTTGCCATGTATTGTTGCTGTAGTGAAAAAAGACCAACAAGTGACTAGTAATGGAACTGTGGCATCACGGTATACTTAGCAGAACTTAGTATTCTAACCAAACACATTGGGGTAAGGACAGCACTAGCTCATTATAACCCAGAGATGATTTATTTCCTACTTGCAAATTATGTTCACTTGGAGCTCTTTTCAAATCATCAGCTCTCCTTCCAATGTCCTGTTCCCCAAATCCCAATACACTGGAAATCACTTCCCAGTCTGAAAAAGTCATCAGGGTGTCTTAATCCATCTTAATCTTCAATGGCAAAGGACCCGAGAGAGTGGAGATGCCGTTACGACTATATGTGAGATGCCAAGAACTTGGCTTTGGCTGGGTGAGAGCAGATCTTGATACCAAGGGAGCAGCAGACAGCTGGTAGGAAAATAACGGGTATGTAGGCAAGTGGGCAGGAGGGATGAATGGTAAAGGGGAGCCTCCCACAAGTGGAAAAGTTCGTGCATGTAGACACAACCATGAGCCAAACAAATTTACAATTTCACATACTTCACTGATGATTCTCACTTTGATGATGATGAGTGAACAAGAAGGAGAAAAGCTGTCTGTTAGATGACTCATCGAGGTCTCATTTTAAATAGGTCTTGGGAACCTTCTTCTGAATTATGTCACTGAGCTCCTGAATCCGTGAAATCCCCAGAAGAGCAGCACAAAGTCTCAACTTCATCTCCAAGCTCAACACACCATGGGAGCTCTTCCTCATGGCCCACTCCTGCATTTCTATTCTTGGGGGCAGTTACTGTCCTCGGGGGAAGGGGCCCACTGCTTCCCTGAGCTCAGAAATGAGCCCTTCCCAGCCTAAGATGGGCTGGTGAGCCCAAAGCGAGCACTGTGACCTCATTCAGTGGAACACGACCTTTAAAATACTCATGAAGAAAAACAAAGCAAATGAGTTTTCGAATTTGTGTTTCAAATACATTCTTTTGGTAGAACACAGCTGTGTCCTGCCTCTTTGTTCTTATCTGTTTATTAACATAATTTCAAAATAATCAGTATACTCACTCTTCCACCAGGTAAGATTTCTTTAAAGTGTAAAACCTTTTTCATTCCCTTTTGCTGTTGAGAAATGAGAGAGCGCGGCAGCTTTCGGGACGGGACGGTGGCAGAGGAGAGAACTTGGAGGGACTAGAACGGCAGCTGTTCACCCCAGCTCTGCCAGCCACAGCCCCTTGTCTCAACTTGGAATGGATTTGATACAGTCACACCCAGGATGGCAACATTCCATGGGGTGGAAGGACATCTTTGATCTTAGCAGAATTTTCTTGTATCAGATCATTCTAGAAAACAGAAGCTGGCACTGGCTCATCCCTCTTGTATGGAATATCAAAGCCCTCCATTGCCCCTGTCACAGCATTTGAGGGACCCCACCCACTCTCCTGCTCCCAGGAGAACGGAGTGGTGATTTCGGGGCGTGGCTGAGAGTGTCCTGAGTGAAGTTCCGTTGAACTCAGGAAGGTCGACCCTTGTCTTATCACCCTGTCTGGTGGAGAATTCATCACTGGAGTTTCCCAATGGACCAGGGATTGTTTAACATCCAATTCATCCCATTATTTCGGCACCTGCGGTGCGGATGTGAGGGGTCATACCTGGGAAATGGCGATATTCAATCCGAGGCCCACAAGATGGGCAGTTCCAAATCAGGCCTGTCTTGCCTCTTAGAGACGTGACTGGTTTGTGATGCAGGCCCAGCCAGCACTCAACCCTGGCCTCCGAGTGCGCAACCTGGACACGGTGCTTGTGTCTCAAACTCACCTTCCCATCCCCGAGCCATCCTGCCTGGCCCTTTCTGAGATGGTGCTGGGGAGACTCCTAGTTTTAGTTTTGTTGTCTACCTCAGTGTCTTAAGACAACCTCATCCTTGTCTTTCCCACCTGCAGCATAAACCTCTATACCTTTGCCATCGCCAAGTTATAGAAAGAAAATCCTAGGTAGATCTGTTGACCTTGCAGTGGTCATAATCACGTTCTTTATCAAGGTGGCATTTCACTTTAAAATCAGTTCCTTATGCCAACATGTTCACCCAGTGAGGGGGAAATAAGTGAGGAAGACATCAGAGGTATAGATATAAGCATGCACGCAAGACAGAGACTGTATTTTAATTTCTAAATCTCTCACCATCTCCTCCACAATCCTATCCACACCGTAGGAATTCTGTGTGACTCATTTTAGACCCCAGAAAATAGTTGTTTCTGCCCTCACAAACACCATGTTTTAAATTTCCTGACTTGACTCAAATTGGAGTCAGATTAGACTGAAATGTGCCCTCCCTCTCAGCTCCACTAATCACTTAATGAATCTATACTAAGAAGCTCTATGTTATGTAGTCTCTGTTTTTAAACCTAGGAAACTATCATTTTTCCCAGACACACTCTATCAGTTAGCAGCCTCCACAATCCCACTCCGGCCCTGGTATGTAATCCGTCTGCCCTGCAAGGGACACTAATTGTCTAGCTGAATCTTTGCTTCCTTCTGGAAGCTCTGTCTAGGGCATGGGACTCTCAAATACACCATCAGCACTTGCCAGCTGGGCATCTGTTAGGGATGCTGGGCAGGAAGTAAGGACCTGGGCAATTGGCTGCCGCTGGGACCTCCTATCCCTCTCGTACATAAGCCGCCTTGAATTTCATCCAATCCCTGGAGATGGGAAGGCTCGTCTGTGATTTCCCTGGAACCCATGGTGGCCGGTCCCCCAACCCCAACTGGATTGCCTGGGACTGTAATCTACTCATCAGCGTCTGCACAGGTGGGGTCTCAACGACGAACCAGTATCTCCCATCATCCTTGGCGGGCTGATCCCAATCTTGTCCTCCTCTAAGGCACGATGACAAGAAGGCTCACCCATGGCTGTCACAAGTTCTTTAAGGTTTGAGGAGCTGAAATGTCGCTTTGCAGTCAGTGGCTATATTGCTAGTAGGTTGCACAACATATACATACACACACTCACACACACACACACACACTGACAACTGGAGATCTGGTGATTTGAAAGGTACAGGTCCTCAAGGAAAATCTGTTTTGCCACCATAAATGCCTCAAGGAGCCAACTGAACTCAATTTCCTTTCCAGGAAACACAAGCAGAAGGGTATACCGATGGGTTGACAAAATAAAGCCATGTTATTCTCTCTTTCCAGCCTTCCAAAGCACGCCATAGAACCCCCTGCCTCTAGCTAAGTTGCCATAAATCACAAGGTTAGCCATGTGGCTCAGGTGCAGAGAGCCTGAATTGGAGTCCCCGTGATGCTGGGTGACTTCAGGCAAGTTAGACAACCTCTCTGAACTTCATGAAGGTAACACTAGCTCCAAGGTCACAGGTGTCATGTAGGGAGACCACCTGGCACACACAGGTGCAGCACATGACAGTGACGTTGCTATTGCTAACATTCCTTTCTTCAGGGGCCGGCGGGGAGAAGCATGGAGGAGGGATGAGTCAGCAAATCTTTGATGCCAGCGTTCAGCTTGGTGCTTTAGAAGGGCTGTGGGCAGGGCCCGGATCAAGGCTTGTGCACAACTCATAGCCTTTCTCCACCAGGCTGAAGGCACCCGAAGGAAGAAGAGCGGATGGAGCGGTCTCGGAGAAGAGACGAAGGAGGAGACCACCCGCTCTGCTTGGCTGGGACAGTCCGGCTGGCCGCTGTGTCCACTGCCCTTCCCACTCTCAGAAGTGCCCCAGCTAGGACAAGAGACAAGTTATCCTATCTCTGAGTCACCGTAAGTAGCTTCTAGAATTGCACGGGCCACTAGAGTAGCCACCAGTGATATGTGGCTACTAAGGATGTGAAATGTAAGTGGGGACTGATGGAGACGTACCGTGTAAAATACAAACTGGATCTCCAAGACTTAAGAAAAAATACAAGTAATCATCAATCATTTTTATACAGGAGATAGGTTGAAATGATAATATTTGACTTTTTTGGCTAAATAAAAATATAAATAAAAGGGATCTTCCCTGTTTCTTTTTATTGGCCTGTGGCTGCTAGAATATTCACTATGTGGGCGTGTTTTATAATCACATGATTCGGGAGCTGGAGCCCTGTGGACTGAGCACACAGGGTTTCATTGCTCTGTCATTCCTTTTCTCTGCTCTTGCTATCAACGCCCTTGTTCGGGCACTTTTATTCTTTAATGTGTGTTGTGTCAACGTATTTCAAACTGATCTTCTTGCCTCTGTCTGCCCTGCCCCTCAAACACTGTCTAAGCAGAATGTGCGATCTTTTTCACATTCTAGAACTGTTTAATGTCCCAGTTTAAAAAGTGTTTGCAGGGCCTCCCCGGTGGCACAGCGGGTTGAGCACATGATGCTGTCTGCAGCCTCTGCAGGTCGGGTTCAATTTCAGACGGCCAGGGAGATTCCCACATGGCGCGGCAGACCTCTCCTGCCTCACCCGCTGCTCCCCTCAGCAGTGTATTTCAGTATATCTACTTGTTCTGCACCCCGCTCTGTCTCTGGTGAATCCTCTCACCCTCCCGCGCCTCTGGGCTGTACCCCAGCTATTGTATAAATAAAAAGTAAATATTAAAAAAAAAAGTGTTTCCGACCTTCCATGTGTCCAAACTCTCCCTTCAGACATTCAGAGTCCTTTAGACTCCAATCCTCCTTTCTAGATCCAGCTTAGACCCCGATATGTTCACTGTCTCACCTGCCCACCCGATCCCCACTACCATGAGCATGTGCACGACCGTGACCCTTTCATCTCTAAGTCCACAACTGGCTTCTTTCTTGCTGCCAATGTCATCTTCATTCCTTCGTCCACTTTGGGCGGCGTGTAACTCAAGAGTGAGCATTAACTCTGCATTCTCCAAAAGCTTTCCCAGCCCCACCCGCAGCCATTTGACCGACAGCCCCAGATCCCATGGCTTTCATCCTGGCACCATGGTAAGACACACGAGTGGGCTGTGTTGGCATCACCCGGGCGAGCATTTCCCTTCCCCTCCGGAGGTAAGTGCCTTTGTACTTGGTGGTCGTTCTGTCTTCTTCTGACCTGCCCTCCCCCATAACTAGCCTTGATTTCCAGTCATGTGGAAGGCGCTACCACGTGTGGGAAAGTGAAGTGAGCAACAAGACGAGGTGAGCGTGTCCTTGGAAGGACGGCTGCCCAGCCTGTCTCAGCTCTGTGCTGGAGAATTCCTTGAGGACGGATAAGGCAGGGCTAGGTGAGGCAGCACTTGAAGACAATGGGGAAAGCCGAGATCATGCACGTCTTTCTAGGAAAACCGTCTAATCACCCTCTGTCAAAATATCTGTTGAATGCACGCTTTGAGAATAGGAATATCAAGATCAAACTCAGTCCTGGTGAGTCCAGGTGGATCCTGACACTCCCACCTCCTTTCCGTGGCTGCAGGATGAGCAGATGCCTACGGTTGCCTCAGCTCTTACAGCCACACTGACTACAGAGTGATGATCGGAGATCAGGCATATGGAAGACTTCTGGGAAAAGATGAAATTACACTTGTATTAGGATATCAAACAGGACCGTGCATGAAAAGAGTTCCTGATCCCAAAGGGGAAAAGCAGTAAAGCAAGAAAACAACAGCAGAGGCCCCTAACCGGAGTAGGGAGGGCGAGGCTGCCTTGCGGGCGAGCTCGTCGTGTGTGCGTGTGTGTGTGTGTGTGTGTGTGTTTGTGTTTGTGTTGAGTTACAGGCAATTATCAGTGGGCTCTCTGTTGGCTTTAAAGAATTTAGAAGCACGTCAATGGGAAATCTGATCTATCAGGAGGGAAATCCTGCTGCATCTCTTAACCCAGTGCCAAGTCTGCTGCCTTGGGCCCCTCGTCCACACAGTCATTCTCAAGAGCTCACAAAGCGCTGGTGAAAGTGGAGGTGAGGATAAATTTTCTCCCAGGTCACGGGTTTTGAAGGGCCCAGATGGGGGCTGTTGAACATGCTGAGTGATCTGCTCCCCTCAGCAGTGGATTTCAGTA